TCTCCAGGACCTTAACCCCATTTGCCCAATTTTCAAATGTAAATTTATTCTTATAGGTGTAAGGAGACTTATGGAGTAGAATCTCCTGCTCGAGAACACCATATAATGAACTCGCTTAGCTTGTTTCGAACTCAGTCTATTCAATTTTGAGTCCGTTGCGTTAACCAATAAGCAATCGCATATCCTTATGCGAAAATTAACAGATGGAGAAACAACATTGAGGTCAGCATAGATTTAAAAGCTTATTAATCTCTCCTTCAGCCTTGACGATCTTCGTTAAATCAAGATGTGGCCTTTCGAAAAGCGATAGTCACCTTTAAAATATTCAAATGAGTGCTTTGGATTCACTTACACTTTGGTTTCAGTGTCCATTTTGTCGAACATTCCATCTGGTAACGAGTGTAGAGGATTATCAAAGATAGTACTGAAAAAATGTCAATAATAAAGTTAATGATTAATTCAAGCTTACACATAATTATAGAGACATGGTTTTTTTTTCTTATCATATGGTTGATGTGGTTACCGTTTTTTGTGCAAAATTTACCCTTTGGCCCCTTAGAGTGACTAGCATCCAATTTCTCCTAACAATATCATCCCTGAATTAAACACTTAGGTCGGGAGAAGAATGGAGGTGATCGCCAACTGAAAAAGCTCTTAATTGTTAAACAGATTCTCCATACCAGCACCTTACAAAACGTATACAAAACAGTTTGGAGAATATTCACTCTAAGGGTGTAAAGGATTAATAAAGTCTCACAAGGCAACAATTCCGTAAAAACAGATCAATGATCCTCTTGAAGCCAAAGTGGTAAGCTTGATTAATACATTTCACTGTAGTGTTTCAAACTTCACTTTATTTTTCAATTTACTCACAGTTGTTTCAGGTTAAGTCTGCTAAAGGATTCACTTCCAATCGTTTTGATGGCATTACTGTGAAGAAAACTATATAAAGGAAGAAATGATAACAAAAAACTAAACAAAACAAAACAAACCCAAACAAGTCAAATTTCTCATATTGTTAACACAACAGGACTCAGCGCTTGCAATCTATGTTACGCATTGAAACATTCATGTTTATTGGATGGTTGAATTTTTCTCAGTTTCTACTAATTCAAGCCAGAGACTGCGTGGTTCAAACCATGTTGACATATAGGCGTCGTCATCCATATATCATGCCCCGTGTGTATCACAATGAAGCCTCTATTTTACTTTACTGGTTTCCTTGAATATTATATTCTGTTATCTTATTATATTCCAGGATATACGTTAACATTATAAAACGTACATGTACTTACACTGATTGCAAAGCAGTTTCATCAAAAACACCGTTGGAAATAAATGTCAGTTTGTTTTTTATCAGCATGCTGTAAATTGAAAAAGAGTATTAAAGACAAAAGCTATTTAAGAAAGGATTGTAGACGTAATATGATTTAATAACGAAATAAATACATAAATAAAAACCAAGATGGGATTTATTGATTAATGAGTGTGTTTTTTAGTCAGATGGGATTACAGACATGAAAAACCAAAAGGGAGCTTACAGCGTCTTCAAGCTTGAGAGTCCTTCAAAGGTGCGATTGTTGATGTTGGAGATGTTGTTGAAGCTAATCATCCTTGATTTAGAAAAAAAGAGCATTGTGAACAATTGTACCGTTTGAACAACAATAATAATGGTTATGATGATAATAGTAGTAATATCAATAAGAATATCACTTTTTGATAAGTCACAATTTGGCTTGCGGCATCGGATCGAAGTTTTATATTAAACAACCTCCCAGAAAGCAAATGACAGTTATGTAAAAAGTAGAATCAGTCAGCGTTAATTTAAAAAGACTTGCAGCGTTTTTCTGTGGCTGGTTTTAAGGGAGGAGGGCAAATAGCAATGTTTCTTCTCCAATAGGATATTGCTGGTACAACATGATTCAATTTATCATAAATTTGGGAAAAGTGCGCTGAATATTTACACACAGAATTTGTAATGTTCCAAGCTTATTGAATAAGCCATCTGGTATGGACCGCAAATTGTTGAATGACAAGTCACTATAAGGAAGATAACATGAATAAGATTAGGAATAAGAAACAGACGCATCTACAGCATTTACTTCTATAGCTATTGGTACCATGCTATTAAAAATACAACCAACCAGAATAAAAGAAATCAGTTGTATATTCGACAGTATTGCAGCCGCCCTTTCCGATCTTATTCTGCCGAAATTCAGCGAGCGGTGGCGGCGTTTCCAGTTTATTTTAGGTGTTGTTTGAGCCGTGTCAGAGCCAAATATTCCCAGGACGTTAATTCATGAGGTCGAAAACTCAGTAAAAATAAATATTTAACCAAAAAGATATAGTTGACTGATCAAGAAGTTGATGTTTTCGTTGAAAGGCGAAGAAACTTAAGAGCAGTGAAGAAAACGAGTTCGGATGGAAGCAAGTTTGTCGACTTAAATCAAGAACTACCTCATTTTTAAAGGAAAGAGGTCTGGCGGAAATTCCCCCAGCCTAATTGGATGACCACTATGCCATTATCACTTTATTTTCGAGAGATTCGAAAGGTCGACGGAGATCAGAGGGGTATGCATATACCGAGAAAATACAAAAACTCGTGGGATATTCTATGGTATACCACTCAAAAGCGTTACATGACCAGTATAAAAATCCATGAACAGATGAACCCGTTCAAAGTAAAGAAAAACCCAGAAAAGTCTATCGTAACTGGTTAAACATCATTCAGAGGGTAAACCCCGACAAAAACTATAGGAGCTTCATGGATTTATTTGTGGTAAAGATGTCTCGATTTGACTTTCCTTGCCTGCTATTGCATTAAATCTTACTTACATTGATCCCACTATGGAAATATTTTGAAATATGTCTGGTGGAAGATAATCGATTTCATTGCTAGACAACAACCTACAAGATAAAAGTGTTATTTGTTTTTAAACTTTAAATTTTATTCGATAGGCATAATATTGAGGGACGTTAAGCTTTACGCAATAGGAATAAGAAAAAAAATACCTCAAACTGATTGACTTGTGAAATGCTTTTGTTTTGATAAAAGAATGCATAAGAAAAGAAATACAGAGTATGAAATTGATACTTCGAAAAGAGCCAAGAGAATGATTATCTGGGCTTCTGATATCAAAATTGATGACAATAAAGAAGCATAATAGAATATCGTTTTTTTTGACTGAACATAGCTCTTTTGACTGAAACACAAGAGCATTTTCAAATTATGAGTGAATCAGTTTTGCACGTGATAAGCTGTTTGCTTTTGCGTAATTATTATGTTATAGGTAATAAAGAATCATTCACGTGCAATTCGTATAGATAATCACATGATTTCGAGTGCAATTTGAAATAAATAAGCACCTGTAAAATTTTTTCAAAGACTAACAAAATTACACGAGCCCGTAGGGCGAATGCAATTTGTGGTCTTTGAAAAAATTAACAGGTGCTTATATATCCAACATTGCACGAGAAAAATCATTTGATTACGTATTAATAATTTACATGAAAAAATACAAGACAGCTTATCATAATCATGCAGAAGCAAAGCGCACACTTCAAGTGCAAAAATAATTTACTCAAACCATGCAAGTGACTTTGTGCGTTCGGTCATAACAACCGCGTACAATAAAAACAATAATACACCATGATGTTTTCACATCTTTAAGGTGCAAAAAAGTTCAATGTCCGGCTAAATAGTTCAAGGAATTGTTCAGTATGTCCGAATCACTTTCGATGAAATGTCGTTTGCGAGGTTTAAACATGTTTGTGTTTAGTTTTGGCGTAGAATTGCTCGAGTTAAGTGTTAAAGCTGGGTCGGCTCGTAACTTTCGATTTCCTTCTCCGAACACCACTTTTTCCAAACCTACAACCAAAGAGCATTGCTTTTTACAGTGTTTTCGTTGTTAGAGCTGTTTCTCAGCTACTGTATTGTTGTTGCGGTGGCGAAAGAAAACCTGCCGACCATTGTTTTGCTCGCAAATTTTCAGCGTATCCAAATGCTGCGAAGTCCAAGGCTCGCACTTGATTGGCTGTCTATGAGTTTCTTTGTTTATTGACCAATCAGAATGTCTGGTTTGTTATACTTCTCTGCACTGAATTAACCCTCCTCTGCACTGAAATACCTGAAAACTGCATTTATCTTAACCAATCAGAACTAAGTAATTTCTTCATGTATATTATTAGGAATAAAGCCTGAAAACTGCCCACTCATCTACTCCAAATTGCGCTCTTGAACTTTTGAAAACCTGAATTTTGCATCTTTTACTTTTTATTAACGTAATTTCTTTCGACGAATCATCGCTAACTTTATCTCCGAAAACTACTCCATGTCAAAAGTCCAAAATGATATTCTAAAACGTAAGAAAGAATATAATTATTGCACCTAAATTTGAGGAAATATAAACCTTATTGCTACAGATATTGTTTCTTGTACCAGCGTGCATTCATAATGATATGAAGCACGCAGGGAATATTGAATGCACGAAAAAAAGGTCGGTGTCAACTGTAGGTTCTT